AATAAAAACAAGTGCTTATAAAAACAAAATTATCAATAAAAAGTAGACACTAAAAAATATATCACCTTTACTAATAATATGATAAATCCTGTTAAAATACTTTTTAAATACACTCTCGCATTTTATTTAATAACTTTTTTGTTTTTCCTAATTTTATAATTTTTAATAAATTTTAATTAATAAAAATAAATATATTAAGAGAAGACTGAGAAGTATGATAAATAGTACGTTACTAACGATCCTCTGTAATGTAATAAATACATTGAGTCTTGCTAGCAAGGACTAAGGAGAAGTGAGAAGTGAGAAGATTTTTCACTGAAATGAAAAGTGCATTAATAATAGATTTATCCTATACTAAACTAGGTACTAACTGGGTTTTGTGGCGAAAAGTAAATGCTGAAACAACTAGTACTGAATGAATACAACAAATCTGAACTCAGAAGCCTAGTTGTTGGAAGTGGCTGCAATGTCAATGACAAAACGGTAGCGTACATCGTTTTTAGCAAGACGCTCCAAAGCCTCGTTGATTCTGTCAGGTGTGATCAACTCAATGTCACTCGTTATATTGTATTTCCCGCAAACCTCCATCATTTCCTGCGTCTCTTTCATTCCCCCTATGATCCCACCCTTCACTGATCTCTTCCCTGTGTCACACACATGTTAATCAAAGGTAATTAATTAATCAGCAAAGACACAAGTGAAGGGAAATTAAGGTCAAAGTTACTACCAAATATCAATGGGAAAGCTGGTAATTGGAATGGCTTGTCCGGTGCACCCACAATGAATAAGGTCCCATTTACTTTTAGCATTTCCATGATGGGCAAGAGAGCGTGCTCTGCTGATACAGTGTCCAATATGAAATCTAGGCTTCTTTTTGCAGCCTGTCATTGCATAAACTATAAATTATAGATACAAAAGTATTTTTATATAACAAATTTTATATTTTAGAAAGAAAAAAGAGAAAAATATTAAATGTAAGGTCATATTTAGTAAGAGAGATTCTTATATTTGAGTATAATGACTTAATTTTCACATGTATAATGAATTCTTTTATAAGAACTCACAAAAATCAAGTTTTAAAATAAAAAAGGAAGAAAGTGAGTTCATTGCATTGTATAATCTAGATAAAGTGGATTAAGAATTTAAATTGTTTTTTCATTGAAGAAAAAATAGAAAATGTTCTAAAATCCTAAGTAACATTGAAGGCCCACAAAAAACACATTAAAAACTCAAAATATATTATATTATTGAAAATATTCTAATAAACCACGGAAGAGATTGACATAAAGATGATATTATATAAATCATTATACATATATCAACATTCAATATGTTTTGAGAAATATTTACGACACTCTTTTACTAAGAGTCTTTTTATAAATAACCAAAATTTATTAAAAATTACAAATTTTACTAAGAATTAATAAGTCTATCTTTCAATGTATGAAAGAAAAAAAGTGTAAATGATGAAATTAAAAAAGTGTGATTAACTTCAAAAATAATAGAGGTAATTAAATAAATTAATTAAAGAGTTAAAAAAATAATTCAACAAATTAGTTAAGAGATAAAATGACAAGAAAATATAGATATTATAATAAGATATTTCTTTTATTAATGTTATAAATAAAAAATATTAAATATAATATGACTAATATTCGTCTTATAATTTTTTGGCTCATGATATATACACTTCTTTTTTTTTTATAAGTACACCTCCTTTTAAAAAAAAATTATAAAATATTATTTTTAAAAAAAATTAATTTTACACTTTCAACTTTCAATTTGTTACTTTCTTCTTCTTATTCACACATTTTTTTTTATCTTTCAATTTTTACATGTTACCAAAATAGGTGGGGTGAAGGAAAAATAAGAGGGTACATGTAAAAATTGAAAAAAGGAAAAAAGATGTGTGAAAAAAAAAGTACTAAATTAAATATTGTGGATGTAAAATTAAAAAATTTAAAACAAAAATTTAAGAATATTTTAAAATTTTAATTATTTTTTTAAAAAGGGGTGTACTTATAGAAAAAAGGAGGTGTATATATCATCAACCTAATTTTTTTATTACCATGTCCCATTAGCCCAAAGCCCAAAGCCCAAAAACATCAAACCATATTGTTGTGGGCAAATATATTTTGGATCAGCGGTCTGACATGAAGTTATTGGCATTATTACTTAAATATTATACGTTAGATTCGCTACTAAAGTTATAAATGTTGACATGATTATTGATTAAACATGTTTGATAATTAGTACGTATTTGAATGCAAAACGAGGTAACAGACCTGTAATTGTTTGGGGTTGGAGCTGACTATGAAATCATCAGCACCCAAACGGTCCTTAGCTTCAGCTTCTTTGGAGGGAGAAGTGCTTATGACAGTAACATGGTGGCCAAAAGCCTTGCCAAATTTAACAGCTATGTGTCCAAGCCCACCCAAACCAACCACACCAATCTTTTTCCCCGGAGTTTCTACCAAACCGTGGTCCTTCAAGGGACTGAACACTGTTATTCCTGCGCATAGTAGAGGAGCTGCTGCGTCCATTGCTAGGTTCGCAGGAATGTGCACCACATATCTTCACATCAAAATTTTATTATCTTTAGACAACAACTTTACTTTACCCAATAAAACAAATTGAAAATTCACAATACTTTAACGTTTTACTGAAAATAAATCACTAGTACTTTCCTTTTTCTTTTTTATTTCATACAAGGGAGACGTACCAACCACTTGACAATTACTACTCATTTCAATACCAACCAGTGCAACCAATCAAAAAAATTTGAAACCACAATAATATGGCCTAGTTGTCTCCAACTACTGCTGCCACTCAAATAAAAGCAAGTCACTTTCAAAGCGACTGTGTCACGTCCGTACTGAAATTTATGGAAAAATAAGACAGATATTTCATATTTTTAATAATTACATAAATATTAGAGTTATGAATAATTATTTAAAAAAATATAATTCTTTTTTACATTTAAGGATATAATTATTCATTAAAAAATGAAAATAAAAAAAATGATTACTAAAATATATTTCTTTTATAGATATATATAATTAAAATATTTTAATCATAATTTTTTTTATTGCAAATAATAGAATTATTTTCTTTTATTTTTGTCAACAACGCCATATTTTTTTAAACAATAATATTTTTTTCCTAAAGTTAAGGACTAATTTTTTTTAAATGCTAAAATATATTTAAAAAAACTAACTTTTTCTAACAAATAGATTTTTACATGCGCTGATTATTAAAATTCATTTAATAAATTCAGAAAAAGAAATCCATTTAATACATAAGAAACAAAATTATGTATGTTTGTCATACCTTATTAATTCAAGAAAACTACTTGAAGTTTATCATATCCGGAAAATTTTCTGAATGTTAAAGGTACTCAGAAAAGGATTACTCCTTATTTTATTTAGCGTAAGAATATTTTTTCTTAAACATAAATAATTTAATTATTTTTATATTATTTAATATTTTTCTAAAATATCAATTTTAATATATGACTTATTAATTACATTATTTCTTTTGATATTTATCATAAAAATAATTTAGAAAGAATTTTATCAGATTAACAATTAATTTTTTAATATACCTAAATTAAAAAAAGAAATCATGATATATACACTTCTTTTTTTTTTATAAGTACACCTCCTTTTAAAAAAAAATTATAAAATATTATTTTTAAAAAAAATTAATTTTACACTTTCAACTTTCAATTTGTTACTTTCTTCTTCTTATTCACACATTTTTTTTTATCTTTCAATTTTTACATGTTACCAAAATAGGTGGGGTGAAGGAAAAATAAGAGGGTACATGTAAAAATTGAAAAAAGGAAAAAAGATGTGTGAAAAAAAAAGTACTAAATTAAAATTGGAGAATAGGGGATCTGTTATTGGAAATCACAGTTTTTTAGGCCTTTTGCTGGGCAGAGAGTGTTTTCTCTGGGGA